GGAAATTTGAAGGTCAGGGCACATTGGAGGACCCTTGGGTTGTTAACATGGATTCATTGATATATCCTTCGTCAGGCAATTGTCAATATTTAATACAGCTGTAATATATATATATATATATTGTGAGCCTCTTCTAGTTGCCAGGATGAAGATGGTATTCTATTGGAGAGTGATGCGCATGCTGAGATTGATGCTCCTAATCCTGAGAGGGCAGTCCAGGCAGCTGCGGCGGTGGCATCACAATCTTCAAAGTGGTCTGTCTTTTATGTGGTGACGTATGAGTGTGGGAGTTAATGATATGACAGTGACAGAACAATCCGTGGGATGAACTTGTGCTTGGTGTGTCTAAGGTGTGTTTTTCCCACATTGCAGAAGAACGACAGCCCGTTTCAAATTTTACCTCAGTTCCTGACAGTGCTGGGAAAGAAAATTGACCAGGGTACTCTTCAGCAGGACTGTCTTATGATCGTTGTTTTTTCAATAGCGCAGATCTTTTTTACCGCAGTACATCTGTGTACTGCAGTGTATGTATATATATATATATTTCGATCCAAAAACAGAACATCAGTGCAGGAAAGGTTGGCGCAAATGAGCAATCCAAGAGCAAAGGAGAGACTAAGCTGTATGTGTTCTATTGCTTAGTTGACGCTACAAAGGCATGTGCTGACCTTTCCAGTTCTTGTTTTGTTGGGCTATCGGCTTGGAAACTGCCTACCTAGGATTGCAACACATGTGCAATCCTTGATCTCTGGGCTGAACAACACCTACAACAAGCTGACCACTCTCCAAGCAGAGTATCTGTCCATGGATCCTTCAGAGTGCGGGCAGTTGTGAGATGTCATCCATGGTACACACATGTCGATGTGTTGAAGTCCCTGATTTTGGTACATACAACTGTCTATCATAGCCATGTCAGGGGTCTGGAGCAGAAGAAGAAGGATGCCCTGAATCTTTTTGCGCAGTCCACAAAGGATGATGTGGCATTGAACAACTACCTTGTCAGAAGCAAGAATCAAGTCTGCACGTGCAAATCTTTTGGACTGTTTCAAATTGATGTCTCATCTCAACATGGGCGTCCTGAGGAACATCAAGGCTGGACCTGCAGACACTCCGGGAAGTTCAAGGTCCAAGGCCAAGCGTGAGAAGAAGGAGAAAAAAGAAAAACCTGAGAAAAAGGAAAAGGAACACCCTAAGAAGGTGAACAAAAAAGGTAAGGGGAAAAAGGCTGACAAGTAGAGGAAGCTTTTGTATGGTGCCGATTCAAATTTGATGCTGGCTGGCTAGAAGCGTTGACGATAAAATTTCGATGCAAAGTGTAAGTCACAAAAGGTTGTGTTGATTCCTAGCTACAGCAGCAGTGGGTTGGAGCAAGTGTTATTCAACACTTGCTGGATTGCCGCTTTAGATTTGAGAGCGCATTGTGGGGTCGAAAAAAGATTCAATGCACAGTCTGCTTTGACCTTCCTGTTTACTCGCCCACTCAAACAAGTGGGCAACAAGATCCATGTTGTTTCTTGCCGCTCGCAGGTCTTCTTCCGGTTGAAAGTGATTGTCCTGAAGTTGGCCTGGGCCTTTTGCTGAGATGTGCATCACATGTGAATGGCCTTCCTTTGATTGCTTGCTTGAGGCTCATCTGATTCGGAGGACTTGCTGGATGCATTCTGTGCTGGTGCTGAGACGGGGGTTTCTTGGCTGACCTTTGATGATCTTTATGCATGCCATTGGTAAGTCTTTGCAATATATGTATCTGTTCTTCCTTCTTGCCCTAGGCTTCCTCAGCCACTGCAGTCATTCACCTGGCGTCTGTTGCATCGAATCGAATGAGACGACTAGGCGGTTGTGTCTGGAAATGTATGAACGGGATTGAACTTGAAAGAAGGTGCTGTTTTGATATCCCTGTAGGTGTTGTTGACCCTGAGCTTGAAAAACTGGCTACTTACAGACACTCCAAGACTGGCAAGACTGGTGGAAATGCATCCAGGGACTTTGACCGGTACGTCCACAAGTCTGGTAGGGTTTTTCCAGTTCAGACGTCATACACCAAGGTGCCCATTCGGACCAAAAAGAGCAACAAACTAGGCAAGTTGGTCCGTAGAGAAGTCACTGTGGACTTTCCTGTGCTCTCTTTGTCCAGTTGGGTAGCTTCCCTTGCGCGTGAATGTCCAATGTTTCTCTTGGGTGGTCACTCAGATGTTCGTGAAAACACCGTGTTCGAAGACATGCTTGATGAGTTTTGGACAAACTTTCGGGTGGTACAGCCAGACCACCCACTATATCAGAAGCCCAAAACCTCTTGGAAAACTTTTCTACCTGCCTGTGATGGTGTTGGCATTTCAACTGATCATCCCCTACACTGGTGCCAACAAACTCAGCTCAACCAAGTAGCTTGGCCCTAAGTGTTTTACTTGTATGCACAGGTATGTGATTCTCCTGGGTCTTTGCTTCCAGCAGCTTCTTAGGCATTCATTTACAACACGCCTTCTCTATTCGCTCATACCTAGCACGTGGTATGCAAAGAATGACGCGAGCATTGATGCACTGACAAAGTTCATGGCTACGGATTTGCAAGTGCTCTTTGATCAGGGTGTGGCTGTAGATGAGCTTTGTCATAAATGTACCATATACCGCCTTAGTTGTCTTTCCCAATCTCACTCTCTGCATTTTTGCTTTAACTGGTTGCCCTGTTACCCCCCACCTGTTTTTGCCTCAGGATGGTCATGGTGGCAAAAGGACTCTGCATTGTGCATTAGTGGCCATCAAAGGAGACTGGCCTTTTGTCAGAAAGGCCATGCATTTAGTTCCGGGATATTCTTCAACTCGGAAGTGTCATTTGTGTCCAGGAAATGACACTGAGTTTAAATCAGTTCAATTTTTGCATTTGCACGCATTCCCAGTCACTAGTCAGTACTTGGCCCTGACCAAGCCATCTGTTTTGCTGCCAGGAATGGTGGAACGTTTCATCTTCAGGGCAAGCCCGGAGCTGGAACTCAGAGTCTCCAAACCCATACAAGGCCAAGCGTGCTCCCCTACGTGATGTGGCTGGTGCAAACACACCGGATATCATCAAGCCAGATTTACTTCATTGTTTTAGTCTGGGTGTGGGTGGAGATATGGCAACATCTACGATCGTAGGATTGGCTCGTATGAAAGTCTTTGAAGGCAGGTCCTTGGATTCCAGATTGGATCACGCCTTTGCTTTGTTTGAAGCCTGGTGCCGAGACAACCATGAGACAGCTTCAGTGAAGGAGTTTGACAAAGCAAAGTTTCACATGACATCGTTGCCTAGTCCCATTAGTGATGTGATCTTAGGTGTGCTTCTTAGGTTCTCGGGCCCCTTGTTTTTTCTTGGATGATCTGAGGTTGCGGACTTATCCACGGGGACTGTCCAAGGCATATGACAACACACTACTCTGCAAATTCCTTGAATCCTTCTTGTGTGAATTGGATCCATCTTCACTTGACACTAGTCTTCACATATTCTTCGATACCTGGTTGATGTGAAACTTAAACACCTACTAGTCTTCCAGGATGCTTTCTGGAAACCAGCCCAGGCGAGTCGTGATGCAGAGATGGTGGAGGTGATGAAGTGGGCGTTTGTGGTTACTAACCGTTTCTTCCGTCTCCTGTATGGTCAAGGAATTTGGATCCCTCTGGAATTGGCCAAAACAGCAGTTAGAGATGGTTTCTGGATGGTAGACGCTGGGATGCATGCATTCCTATTCCTTGCCAGTGCCACTGTCTAGGTTTTGGTGTGTGTGTGTGTACACTGTGCATGCAAGGAAGCCTATGCAGGATTAGCCTCTTTGGCAACATCTCGCAAATGGGCACTCTACCGGGTTCGACCAAAGCTTCATTTGCTGACACACAGTGTGAGCCTTGTTCCAATATATAAGGCATGTGTTGCTGATATCGGAACCAAATATGAAGTGTGCTGTGCTGGTTTGAGTGTGAGGATGATGTGTTGATGTGTTTCGGTGAGGAAAACCATGGAAAAGGAAATGGAAAGGGCGTCTTCCGGATCGCTGCGCGCTATCATGAATCCGGTGTGTTTCTTGCCTGTCTGGTGAATAAGTGGTTTCAAGATTCTGAGCGTTTCCCCAAATATCACCCCTAAATGTACAGATTAATGCTGGAAGTTAAACTCTGGGTCATTTTGTCAATATGATCCAACCAAATAGAAGCCACACTACATGCAAGAAACCACCACAGTTGTGCTAGCTCAGGTTGGGCATGTTGGAGTGATGAGGATTATATCGGCAGGCTGTGTAGAATTGCACGTCGACTCAATGCTGGTGCAATGATCACCTGCCGTGTTTTTACTAGAGCAAAGATGCACTACTTGCGGCACTTTCGAAGGGTGCTGTGAACAGGTGAGTGCCAAAGGTGCGCACATGTGTACCAGTGTGATATGGACAGACTCTGAGGAAGTGAAAAGGCATGCCTCGAGCACTTTTTAAGCAAACGAGCGTTTTTCCAAAACGTAACAAAAACCAATGGTCTCGAGCAGAAAAAGCTCGTAGCACAAATTTATGTATCAATGGATGGACCAGGTAGTATGTTATATATATTTTATATAATATGCACAACCCAATGGACGTGGCAAAGCTTTTCGCCTTCGCGACGTTCCTTCGATCTTAGACGTGCCGCACATGGGAACCGGTGCACCGGCACCTCTATTGCATGTTTTCTGTGACCTCAAGTGCACATATATGCAGATTATCTGTATATAAATATATGTATCAGATGGTGTTGTCATGGGGATTTATCCACAAGAACCTTGTCTTAGTTTTCCCTATAAGGTGGTTTATATCACGTTGGCCAAACAAAGACTGGGATTGGTTTGTCAGGATTTTTCTTTGGGGAGTCATAGTACCTTGAATGAAACCACTCGGTACACACCAGAAAATAGATCTTTCGTTCGCAAGCTTCAAGTGCTTCCCGCTGCTTCCCGCTGCTTCCGTCTCACCGCCTCAACCAGCTTTCACAGTCTCACGGCCCAGGCACCTTTGGATGAAAGGTGTCGTCCCGGTGAGTAGCTGTTTGGATGATCGTTTGAGAGCCTAGTGTTGGGTGTGGAGGTCACGTGGGAGCTGATCTTGAAGAGGTCACTTTCTTTTATCATTTCGTTCGAGACAGAAACAGAGATGTTAAAAAATTGCATGCATGTTCAAACTCTGCATGGATGTTCAAACGCTGCAACACCGTTTGATGTTTTTTTGTTCCTTTTCCATCTTCTTCCTGTTGCCACATCAATGTGCTTCTTTGGCCTCGGCCTCGACGAAGTAACTTATATAGTGCACCTGTGGTATGGAAGAGCTGTTTGCTCAGACAGTTACATGGCATTTACTTCACTTGTTCGTGAGGCTTTTGGGCGGTGCTTCCTGGATGGGTAAGGAGTGAGATGTTCAGTCCCTAGGGTAGGTAGGTTGAGAGTGCAGATTGCACGCCTAACTCACCAGCAAATCACAAGAGCCTTGCTTTATGTGGATTCCCATCAAATATGGTGCATGGGATTGTGCTCTAGTTGTGTCATTATACTCATGCCATCCCTGTCAGAGGACAAGATGAAACACATCATATAACAGGTATGTTGAGATGTTTCAAGCATTGTGCTGCAGCATAAAAGATCTCGTGAGATTTGAAAGATCAGATCGAATCAGGCCTGCAAGTTGCAGATTGCGAATGCTGTATTCAAACAGATGGAGCATTTCCCCCAGAATCTATAATATTACATAATGTCCTGCAAGAAGTCTAACAGCCCCCTTAAGGTGACATGCAGTAATAGTAGTCCAAGAATAACCCGGGACCCAGCACAGACCATGTTTCTGTACACAATCCCACGTTTCTCATCTAACCTAAAGTCGTTAGGCAACCAGAAGTCGCACCCATCGTTCCTCCTTCGCGACGGACCGCCGCACCTCTCCGGAAGTCGCACCCCTCACATCGCTGAAAAACAGTGCTGGACAGGTCATCCACAGGTGGCCGTGCCAATGGAGCTCCTCTTTGGCCTTGAATCGCTCCTTGGGCGAAGAAATGTCCGGGAGACAAAACATCGGGTTGGAGGCCATCGCTAGTAGGTTGGACGCCAACGCTATTAGGTCGGAGCTCCGAGGCAAAGAAGAGTGTGTCTTGTCATTACTTACCCTATGCATTGATCCACAGAACCGAGGGTGATGTGATCATGCATGTGAACCGAGGGTGAACCTGAACCGAAGGTGCTTGGTATGTGGATCCTCAGGGTTCGTACACATATCGTGTAATTATTGGGTGACCATGGCATTTGTTGCAGGTGTTGATGTGTGAATAAGTGTGACTGAGGCTGCTCTTTTTGATGTGTGCCCATGTTAAAGCATCACATTGTGCCACAGGATGTTTGCTCATTTGAACCTTGATTGGATTGCCACATAACTGCACATTGTTACAGGCGGTCTTGCGCGTTCTTCCATTTGCTGCAAAGCACACGGGGGAATCTTCGACGTGACCATTTGCAGGTTGCATGGGGCGGGTGAATCGGCTGATTCAGAGGTGCGAAAGCAGAAGCAACGGTTGAAGCATTGGATGCTCGGAATGCTGATGGCGCGGGTACTGTGTGCACCCTAATCCTTCTCCTTCACCGTCATGAATATCGTTTCAGAATCTTGGTAAAGAAGGTTGCTGCCTGTATTGGCTGCTGTTCATGGGATGAGCATGTTGTTGCAGAGACTATGTCCCGGCAGAAACTGGTGCAGGTGAGTGTCGCTGTGCCATTCGTATTGGCGTGTCACCTGCTTGATGGAATTGAGGGAATTCAGTCTCGCACGTGCCAAGTCAAGGTGCACCTCCTGGACGTCAGGGGTACTTTGTGGAGGATGGCTGCACAAACCAGAGAGATGGGAAGCTGCCCAGCGGCTTTGGCACTGGTGTTAGAATCCGTTCATGAGCTGGGCAAACGAGGAGGTGCCTCAGCTGGGCATTCGCCTCACTGCAGAAATGGAAGCTCTCGCCTCCGCTCGCCTCCATTGAATGCACTGGTTCAGCCGCCTGAGGCGCCGACGGTTTTTCCCCGCAAATGGCGTGGGAAATCTCGATGCTGTTTTTCCACTCAGCAGTTGACCTGGCTGACAACATGATCATTGAATATGCACATGCCAGTTGAAAGGTGGATTGAACATGTATATAGAAGCTTTTTCACCTAGTCAGTGTGCGTGTGTGTGTTTTTGCTTTCCGAATGCGTCGACCATGCAGAAGGCCGGTTGAACCGGTGGGCTTACTTTACAGTCTTTGGCATGGTGGTGACTTCTTTGGCCAACCATGGTTGGCCAGGGTTCCCCAACTCCAGATGGTAACGGACAGAGACTCGAGGCCATGGAGGTCCTTGCAAGTCATCTACAGGCACCCCAACCCGTAAGTGCATGGTCCAGGTATTTGCTGGCCAGGTTCAGAGGCGACCCCCCAAAAGCTCCATTGTTTGTACATCTCTCATGCTTCGTCGCTATCACTTTGGCGTCATTAATTGCATGCTGCCGGCTAAAGGTATGAGACCTGACCAGCGACATCTTGCAATCTGAAACTGTCATATGAGTCATATGAGGTGACATATCATATATATATATATACATGTACTGTGAATTTTCAGTTGTGAACCATTCAGCATGTCGAGAGCTCAGCCATCGCACTTCCCTTTCCGAAGCCTTTTCGGGCACGAGTCCGTTGGGTGGTGAGGGTCAGGGCCCTACGAGAGGCCGTTGAGCCATAGCGTGAGGACACGCTCGGTTGCTTGGCGAGGACGCCAATTTCGTTCAGGCAGTGGCGGAGGAAAAGGCCGCTTCTGAGGTGCTGTGGGCACCAGCTGAAGGTCGAAGGGCTACCAGTGTGGGCAATCCACATTGGTAGCGGAGCTCCGCTCCAAAGCTCCTGATCGTTGGCCTTGAGCAAGCGCGTGTTGGAACTTGAAGTGTTGGCAAATCCCGGGGCGGGACGTTGGTTGTTGCATTGATCTCATTGGTCGAACGTTGTGTCGTACATTGTGATTGGCAACAGCAGTGCATTGTTGACACAAGGCTACAATACATTGTTTTGCTTGGTTGAGTTGAGTTGATTTGAGCATTGGTTGACCGTTGGGGAACGTTGAGACATTGCTTACATTGCTCAATTTTGTTTTGGCCAACGCCGTGGTGAAGAAAGGTGAGCGGTTCCAGGGAGGCAGACATGCCAGAGACGGAGCCATCCGGCTCGACGTCGGGCAGTGGTGGCCTGAGCCACCTCCCATGGAATCAGGTGCCTCATTTCCGACCTGGAGAAACTGATCTGACTGAATGGACAAAGAAAGTCGAGTTCTTGGCACAATTATGGCCTCCAGAACATCTCCAACACCTGGCACCCCGGATTGCACTTCAGTGTGAGGGATCCGCATTCCAGCGAATCTCACGACTGGACCCAAAGGTGCTGCGGGTCAACTCTGTAGACGGGGTCAAGGCAGTGGTTGAACAGCTGGGAGGAATCTGGGGTAAATCCAACCTCGAATCCAAATTTGAGCGTTTTGAGCGTGCCATTTATAGTACAGTTCAACGGTCGGACGAGACCAACGAAAGCTACCTGGCAAGACACGACCATCAATTCGAGGAGCTCCTCAGCATGAAGGTTGCCATGGATGAGTTCCGTGCATACATCCTTTTGCGGAACTCGGCTTTGAGTGCTGAAGACAAGAAAAGGTTGATTGTCGAATCTGCTGGATCCTTAGATTACAAGACCGTTGTCACCAACCTCAAGCTGCTGGGAAGCAAGTCTTTCCAGGAAGTCCATGCAGGGAAGGCTTCAAGTGCTCGGTCCAAGACCTACGAGGCCAATGCATTCGTGAGCCACGATGCAGGATCCACAGAGCTGCCCTCCGAAGACTCGGCATTTCATGCCGATGATTGGAATGAGGAAGAGTGGATTGAACAGTTGGCCAATGACGGCGACGAGGACGCTGCATTGATTTTGGACTATGAGCAATCCATGCTGGACACCATTCAAGAAGACGCTGATCTCGCATTGTCCCACACGACCTATGCCGAGGCCAGAAAGCGTCTGTCAGATCGATTCAAGAACCGTGGGTTCTGGTCGTCGGGTCCGCCAAAGGGCAAGGCCCGAGGGAAAGGAGGTGAAAAGGGAAAGAAGGGCTTTGGTGGCTTCCGCAATTCTGGCAATCGAAAGACATTGCAACAAAGGATCCTTGAGAGCACCTGCCGGATATGTGGCCGCAAAGGTCATTGGAAAGCCGAGTGTCCTGAGAGAGGACGTTCCAGCGAAACTGGCCAAACCACATTGGCAACCGCACCCACGCTGGTGACTCTGGAAGACGGAGTCGATGCTCTGCCCTTAGAGTTCATGAGCTTGCCTGAGGAGCCCATTGAATCCACACGGGACTCTTCACTGACTTTGTCAAGTTTTGGATTTTGTTTTGGGGTTTTGGGAAAACACGCTGGGCCCAATGCCATCAATGAAGGGGAAATCATTGAGAGTAATAGGGAAGCCATTGAGAAACCTGGCATGTCATGCATGAACGCACATCACGAATTCAGGAGTAGAAAGAATGCCGCCCACTGTGCTGAGAGTTTTGCCAGCACGTGCCTTTCGACCATGCCGCCTGAACCAGCCGGATCGCATTTTGCGACATACAATTCGTTAGGGATCATTGACACAGGTGCCACCAAGACGGTCATTGGAAGCCGACTCGTGGCCTCACTGATCCAGAGTCTATCGCCTGAGGTACGACAGCAAGTGACCAGGTGCCCATGCAAAGTCATGTTTCGTTTTGGCAACCATGGAACACTTGAGAGCAAGCATGCATTAGTGGTCCCCATAGGATCTTTGAGATTAAAGGTTGCAATTGTACCAGGTCAAACACCGTTCTTGCTGTCGAACACCTTGTTCAGGGCCATTGGGGCCACCATAGACACACGACAGGGCATGCTACACAGCACGATGCTAGAGAGATCCATACCTATCAACATCAACACCAAAGGTTTGTATGTTTTGGACCTCAACGAGCTAGCGAAGCCCTGCACAGCCAGTATGAAGCCTGCAGACACTTTTCACGTGTCCGAGCTAAAACAGATCGAAACGTGTGTCAGCCATCCGACATCAAGTCAGGACAAACCTCAGAAATCATCAGGCGTCCAGGTATCAGGTTCCACGGGACAAGTCAAACAGCTAATAGCCAAGTTCGATCGACCGTTCGCCGAATCGTGTGAACATGCAGACCACACCGGAAGAGGTCAGTTCAGCCATCTGCGAATGCCGAAGTCTCAGCGCTCAGATCCGTGCAATCCCCATCCTCGGCATACACTTCCTCAGACCCATGTCGAGTCAGAGTGCCACCGATCTCCAGGCCCGGTTGACCAGGGCACTGGGGGCATCTCAGACTCGGTCCGAGGAGATCTCAATGGCAGCATTTCGGGAGCTGACGCTGGAACAGCAAGGGACCTATCTGATCACGTTCGGAAAGGCCCACCGTGGCCGAAGCTATGCCGACATCTGGGAGAAGGAGCCAGGGTACGTGAAGTGGTTCCAAGCCACGTACCATGCCTCCACGAAGTCAGAGCATCAGCGCTTCCTCCACTATGTGACTCGACAGGTGGAACACTTCGAGGAGACAGCGCCGAGCCATCAAGTGACTCCCATGTCAGCTCCGAAGAGCAAGGCATATCCAAAGCCGAAGCCTGCACCAGCGCAAATGCCAGTGACAGCTCAGGACTTTGCCGACCTCAATGCCGAAGAGAGCTGGGAACCCGTGGAGCTGGAGGAAGAAACTCATCCAGTCTATGCGGATGTGGCCGCCCTGCAGGATCGCATGATGTACCTGGAGACTGCTCTCCAGGAAGTGATCGGCCATTTGCGTTCCTCAGCACAGAGTGGCTAGACAACTTCGAAACTAGGGAATGGAGTGAGTGTCTGAACACTGAATCATGTCCCAACAACATAGGAGAAAATCAAGCAAACCTGCATGGGAAGTTCGATAGATTGCTTCAACAGTTTTCGAAGGAAGCCAACGCT